TACTTAAGCGCCAGCAGTACATACTTACTTACTGACTTACTCACCCACCGGGACTCACTTACTCTCCCACCAGAACGACAGAGGACTTACTGGTTACTACCCACTATTCACCTAGCAGAACATAGTAGAAATCTATTTGTTTACACCTCGCATCTCTCTTCTCTTGTCTTACATCATATCATCACTTAAGCAAACTCACTCTTACTCTCTCTCATATCTGTATACACGCGCACGCTTTCCCACGCTTCGCGCCATACACGCGCGCATTCCCGCGCCTTGCGTGCACCTGCGCTTTCTCGCGCTTCACATTGGCCAACCAGTAGCGCTTTCAGCGCATACCTCTAGATCCTTGCTGCACTCGCTTCCCCTTTAGGGTCGAACGCACTTGTCGTCTCAAGTATAGCAGACTAGGCAACGCGCGACCTTACAACAATTATAGATACAGTCAGGAGCATTGTTCGTGCCTCGCTGTATCGTTGAACCTTCACCGGCCAAGTATCATAGCGCGTGCAATTGAGGCGCTCAGCGATGCCATTCTGTTGAGGAGAATCGTGAATGGTAAGCTCTCGTTCAATCCCTTGTTCCTGCAGGTATTTATCGAACTCTGCGGAAAGGTATTCTCCCCCTTGATCTGATTGCACCTTACGGATACGGGTGTTGGGATGCTGTCGTACAAGATTCGCCTCGTACTGTTGGAATGCCGTGAGTGCCTCACTTTTAGCCTTCAAGAACCTGACCTTCATTTCATGGGAATAATCATCTGTGAAACTGATATAGTACGTCGATCCACCTATGCTGGTGGTCTGGGCTGGTCCCCACAGGTCTGTGTGGACCAAGTCTCCATACTTTTCAGCTTGTTTCTTCGTTTCATCGGGGAAAGACTGACACGTGGCTTTAGCTTTTGTGCAGACTTCGCAAAACTCCAGCGCCGTGTTGGTGTCGACGTGAAGACCGTGTACGAGGCCCTTTTTGGCCATAAGCTTGACGGCTGCCTGGGACACATGGCCCAAGATGCGATGGGCCTCATAGAGGGTGAGTTTCGACTTAGCAACATTTGCTCTTTCTTTTCAACGCTCAAGGACACTATACAGACCCTCCAGTTGGGGTATTTCAGCGATGACTTTGCGATTAGGACCTGGTGAGAGTATTCGGCACATGTTGCCCTCGGAATGGACTGCTAACCCCGACGTCGTGATACGATTCAGCGATACCAATGTGAATGCCATATTTGGCACGTAGAGGGCATTCTTCAGGGTCACAGAGGTGCGTTTCTCTCCCAGGGGCAGATCTATACTGACATCTCCCCTTCCCATAGCGCTAATAGCTGAACCATCAGCTGTATGGATGTCCTGGGGGCTTATAGGGACGAAGTTCTTGAACTTCGTCCAATCCGGACAGAAGTGGGATGTCGCCCCGGAGTCCATGATGGCTCCGCGCTTCGAGGCAGGTATCTGGAGCTCCTTGGCAATAGCTGCAAGGTCCAACGTGATGAATGCATACTCTTCATTGAGTTCATTCTGGGATGCAGCATTAGCTGCTTGCTTAGGTGTGCGATTTCCTCTTCTCTGCATCTGCTTTGGTCCCTGACCCTCTTTTCCGCCTCCCGGTCTCCAACAGTCGCTTTTATAATGCCCTTTTCGCTCACAGTTGAAGCAGGTGACCTCTGGGTCTTGTTTGGAGGTACTAGTTCCGCCTCGCGCCTTGTTGGGACCCGCCTTAGCCGTTAGAGCGGTTCCTGAGCTCTTTTTTGAGGTACGTTTGTCAGTTAAGACTCTGTGTTCGTATTCCTCGGAGACAACGCTAATGAGTTCATAGGGCGTGAGTGGCTTCTGCGTCACCTTGGTGGCTGCATTGACGGAGGATAGGAGGGGTCAGTATGATTTGGGGAGAGAGCCAATGATAATGGCGTAGAAGTCACGATCCTTGACATCGGCGCCCATACCCGCTAGAGATTCGTGCAGGCGCAGGAGCTCGCTGAGGTGAGCTTTCACATCTGCATTCTCGTCACATCTTAGATCTTGTAGGCATCGACGAAGGTCGATTTGGACCAGTTCGGTCTTGCCTTCATGAATGTCGCGGATCTCCTCCCAGATCTGTGCAGTGCCCTCAAGCTTCTGCACTCGCAGTAACAGCCGATCTGTGATCGTGCTGAACATCTGCTGTTTTACAAGTGAGTCTTTCTGAAAGTGCTCATCGATCCTTTTGTCAAGCTCATCTATCTCCGTTTGCGTAGGTATCGAGCCGTCAGGCTTTGAGACCATGTGTGTCGTCGCATCGACCTTGAACGGTACGGGTTTTACTGCGCAACCATCAACGTAACGCATCAAACCTCGGGCACCAATAGCTGTTAACATCTGTTCCTTATAGGTAATCCAGTTACTGCCGTCCTCGGCTAGTTTGGGGACATTGAACAATGCGGAGTTGGTACTGGGGAGCATTGCGTCCATGATTGCTCCAGGGCTCATAACCTATAGTGATTCGAGGTGCGTAGACAACGCCACATAATTCAGTCAGAACCACACGTAGAACCGGTACTCCGGACGTTGACCTGCACCAAACCGGTTCGGTGCATGGATGACTAATGCTCTCCCACGAGCCCGATACCCTAGAAATCATTATGAATAATCTTCCTTTACTTTATGGTTCAGACTGCAGTTCAGATAGTATTTTCATTTCTCAGACAGACTCAGATAGGCTGAATATTCTTGTATATTTAATTTTGCAGTAAATTATGCTTAGTCAGCAATAACAATGACTCAGACTGAATCCCACACATGTCAAGTAACAGTGTAAAATAGTTCTTGCATAATTTGCCTTGTGGGAACTTTCTTAACACTCTAAATACACAGCTCGCGTCATTTCTACGGTCAATAAAGTAACATCATAACAAGACACCAACAAATAACGTAGTCAGTCTGTTACTTAATATTTGTCACATGATACTAAGTTATATGACTCTAACAGTCAGGTGACCTATGACCCTAAACCAAATCATGACAAAGCAACCTTTTGAGATGACTAAAGCTTGATGACACAAATTATAAAGCACATGACTACAGTAAATAGTATTGGTACAATCTGACTAAGCCTATTCCCCTTAGAATGTGGGAAATAGTAACACAGCCACCATAATTTATCTATATAAGACCCCACTTTTGCCAATAAAAAGAGGCATATAGGGAACTTTTAAGCCCCACAAAATAAATTTGAGTGTGAAGTGTGATCAGTGTCAACAACAGTGACAAGAGCTGTTAAGCAACTAACTGAGAGGTCATTGTAAGCAACATCCAGCAATACCTTTAGCTCATCGTCAACAACTGTGAAATATCTTGAGCTCACTGTGCTCAACAGTGAGCAAACTTTTTCTTTGATTTTCTACTGGTGAACCTCTAGTCTCTTTCTTTTCTTTTCTTTCTTCTTTCTCTCTTTCTTTTTCTGTTTCTTTCTTTGTTTCTTTCTTTTCATTTGTCTCTTTTTCTGTTCAGTTCATTCACGTCTCAGTGTTATTGTCTGAATTTCTTTCAAGATCTTTGTGTTGTCTTTACGTCCATCTAAGCACCGGCTTAGTGGGAAGACTTCAGAAGTTGATAGTGACACTTGACCTCACTCATCTGAGTAGTGATACTGAGCCAGGGTTTTCTTTGTCTGCTAGACTTTAGTTGTTGAATAGGGGACTTGGTACTGAAATCCAAGGACGTCCGTTCCTGATTCTGTTTAATACTCATCGTGAGTTCCTTGGCAGCAGGTTCAATAGTGAACTAAGAGTTCTACTGATCACTGATTAGTCCTGACCTTTGATTCTACCTGTTTGTGCTGAGGGGGTGATTGCTATAATTTCGCACGACTTTCTGTAGTAAATTTATTACAAGAAGCATTGTTACTGAAGGAAGGGTTTCCCTTATCAATATATTTCTTTTTTTTATCAGTACCATACTGTTGGGCTGACTTTTCTCTGTTCTCTAAACACTGCCATACCGTTGGAGTGAATCAATTTCTTTTTGTCATCACCATACCGTTGGGCTGACTACATTCTGTTTATTTTATTTTCTATTGCGTCCATACTGTTGGATTGACTGGTATTGCTACTGACCTCATAAGAAGTACTTTTTGTCTGAACATAGCTTGGGGAAGTGTAAACAGCCACCCACAAACAACTATGTTATCAGTCATTGGTATTTGTCTGAATCGCTGACCATGGAGATTTTTTGTGGCTAGTATGTAGAGTGGGTGCTGGCCAGTCTGTAGGGTAGGTGCTGGCCAGTCTGTAGGGTAGGTGCTGGCCAGTATGTACAATGGGTGCTGGCCAGTATGTAATGTGAGTGCTGGCCAGGTGCTGGCTGGTGCATAGGGTAGGTATTAGCTGATGCCTAGAGTGAGTGCTGGCCAGTGTATAGGGATGATAGTGTGAGAATTGGGTCTTTGTCATGCAAAAGTACACATGCAGAATGAGGGTTAGACAATTGCACATAGTAAGCATGCAAGTTGAAGGTGGTGTCCAAGAGCTACCCTACCACTTTTAAGGCAAGAAATACTATATTAGGACTATAAGTTGTAGATATCATCCTGGCCGACTTGCACATAAATAAAAAAAACAACTAGCTTGCCAATCAGACTTGTTTTTTACTATTATAATTAGAATAATACAAGCAAAAATACAGTACAGTATGAGCTGTGGAAGGTGTTCTGGCCGATGTCTACATAAGGAAAATCAGTCCGGCCAGACCATCAGTACACCATGTAATTGGATACAGTATGCTGTAGAAGGTGTTTTGACCGATGTCTACATAAAGAAAATCAGTCCAGTTGAACCATCAGTACACCATGTCTATTATATTCCTGCCACATACTTCAGTTAGAATAGTCTAGGAATACAACTATTAAGTGACTACAACCATTTTGTCCTTGAATGAATTTTCTGCATTCACTAAAAACCTTCCCCACAGGAGCACCTGTCGTTGTGCATAGGCTTGATGACCATGCTTTGTGGCTTCATGGTATCTTCATTCCCATTCTTCCTTCTTGTATCTAAACCAACCCACTGTCCACCCCATCTCATGTTGAACCAAACTCAACTCCTCCTCCCACCTTTGCCATCGAGCCTTAGCTTTCAACCAATTTAGCCTGTAGACTGATACTTGTCATGTAATAATGAATGAATATGAAACATGACTCACATTCATCCATCCATACATCTTCAGGAGAATCATGACCATTGTTCACCCTCCAAAACCAAGCTAGTCTGTCTGATCCCTGCCCATATCTGTTCTCCTCAGTGACTTCCTTGTTCACATTAAGCTGACTCGGCTGAATCTCTTGATAAACATTCTTCAGAGTATCTTCATCTACTCCTAGTCTCTGCAGTGCATTCCTGGCCCTCTGATAGCTTTGAACACACTGATCGATTTTGATCTGACATCGTCGAGCTTCTTGCTTTGACCTGGTACCCACCCACGTGGAATCTGCACTTCTAAAATGTTGACGGTAAATTATGGCTTTGTGGCCAAGAGCCTGCCGTAACTTTTCCAAGCAATCATTTGCCTGACCCTGCCGTAACTGCAGTTCTTCGGCTTGTAGAGAACCTAGGCCAAGGGCTAAAGCATTGTCGTGAGGTATTGATGATGGCATCCAGATCCGCATGGCTTCTGCAACAACTTCTTCACAGATTTCTTCAGAAGTCACTTTGGGATCTGCTGCTTCCCTCTCTTCTTCCTCCATATCTGCAGTACAAAATCTGACGTCATCCATGTGCTCCGTACCTGTGTCAACTTCGATGCCTTCTGTCATGGCATCAGCCATTTCATGAAATTTCGAGATCCTTGCTGCCAGTTTTTGTCGTTTTTCTTCAACTACTGCCTTTTGAGTGGCAGATGCATCTTTGGGAAGCTTTCGAATATCTCCCCTCAAAGCATCCCTAAAGCAAAATTGAGATGTACCTTAAATGAAGGTGATATAATGACATACTGAGCATTCTCCAAATTGATACCACTGGGAGTAAAGATATCGATCCTCGTTTGCTAGTATTAGCATATTCTGTTTCGGTTAATTTTAGCTGAATTTCTGCCATTGTTGGGGCTTCCAATCACCGCATCAGAATGAACAGCATGTGAAAATGAAAAGAACCTAGGAACAACTCACCTTTATCTATTTGTAGTTGGTATATGTCAAGATGCTCTCCACGTTGTTCCATAGCTCATTTTTCATCTTTCTCCCATGAGGAGACTTTACTGACTTCCAAGGAATGTGTGAGCTCTTGGAATGGCACCTTAGTGTCATCGATGCCCTTATTGGCATGTTTGTACTTTTGCAAGAGCATCTTAACTGTATGTGCCGTTTAACTGATTTTTAATTGATTCCAAATATAGGCACTCACCAATTTGGACAAGTTTTTTCCAATTTGAGTTACGCATGTGATCATCAAGGATTTCTTGACAGTGGGCTTGGCTCATAGAACGTGCTGTTGGAGAAATCTTATTGAAGGGAGCCCAGAGTGTCTCTAGAATTTCCCTATCAACCTGCCCAGCTCCTACAATAAAGTTCAGGCTGTATCTGGGAAAACAAGCAAGCTTGTGAGCGCTGAGATGAAATTTTCCCACTGCAACCACAATCTCTGTGTCATCAGGGAGGGTCAAGCTAGAGCAGTTGTTGACACGTTCTGAAAAATGAAGACTCCACTGGCAGCCCACATCATAAATTACCAGGGAGTCATTGATTCCTCTTGCAGCATGCTTAATAGCATTGCATATGGAGTAATCTATATTCATGTGGCTTGAAGTGATTTTGTCATCAAGTCGGTCAATCAGTAGTATATTAAATAAGACTTGCCGTTCGTCCTTCTGAAAGTCTACTACAGAGTGGGGAATGAAACATCCATGCCTTGCACAAGCAGTGGCCCCCACCCCTGTAGTTCTGAGGTTGCCTCGGTTTGTATTTGCTGTATTGACTGCATGATGGTTGCTACAAGTAGACCTCTTCCAACTTGTTCAGCATACTTGTAAAATGAACACAACCCAACTCACCTCCCTACTCTCTGTAGCTGAGGCCAAGTGAGCTTGATATTCTCCCTCTGTGACCATATAACCTAAACCATCTGAGAGGAAGATGTCCTCTTTCGGCTGTCTCATGTTCATGTGCTGAGCGGTAAAATTTCCATCTACCACAAATCTCTTCATGACAAGCCACCTGTGTTGAACATCCAAAATTAGCATTATTGAACCATAATAATTCTTTGGAGAGTTCTTCATAACCAAGACAGTCTGGCCAGAGTGCACTTTACAAGGCACATAGTATCGCAGCACAATGGTGACAGCCGGCTGGACTACCTGCACTAGCTGTACAATCAGTACTGGCCAGCATCCTCTGCTGCTATTTGACCTCAACCAGCACCACACATACGTTGGCTAGCTATTGGCTGGCCAGGTTTAGGAAAAACCTGGCCAAGATCTGTACTGGCCACTGTACCAGGTGTACTGGCCAGGGTAAATACACACATATGTCCAGCCTGCAGCATTACTGGCCTATGTACAATGTGTACTGGCCAGAGTTCACCTTGCTCAACAGCCATGAGTATATACGACACGTAGCAACCAACCGGCCACTGTCTAGCTATGGTTTCTGTTACGCACTCAAATAGATCTGTTAGGCAGAGCCCTAAGAGGGGCGTCGACTGCTAACGTTCGTGACGTAACCGGAAGGGTCCGGTATAGCAAGTGATACTGGCGACGGTCGTGTCGGCAGATATCACAGTACGCGCGTGTCACGTGACTTCTGAGACGGATGTCTTAGAAGTCGCTCAAGGTAAGGATAGTCTTGTCCGAACGATGAGGTCGATCGAGGATAGACTTAGCCGCGAGGAGCGACTAAGAAAAGATACTAGAGACAGAAGCTGAGGGGGCTTCTGAGGGAAGTATGTTCCAGGGAAGATTGAGTAGATTCAAGTTAGAGAATCTAATACAAGGTGACCGACTACTTATACTAAGTGGAGAGGGTTAAGGGCAAGGCTACCGCACAGTAGGTAAGGGTAAAGGGGATGTGAATATGGTATAGGTGCGTTGGCAACATAGCCGGATTAGTGATGGGTGGTCGAAAGTGGAATGAGACCGAGAAACGTTGGAACGGACCAACGGTAAGGATACAACGTGCGGGAATCCGCAGTCAGGGGAAACAGAAAGAGGAAAGCCACATTGGTGGCACGAGTCAGACCGAGTCAGAGGTGCGGGACCACATTGGTGGTCGAATCAGAAGAGGAACGTGCAGTGCACGTGCATAGAGGCGGATGATGCGAGGGACGGGAACGGTCCCGAGGATCCGGTCAACGGAAAGTCGGTAAAGGAGGACGAGCCGGTAGGTGGTGAGGGCGAGGATGAAGGGAAAATGATAGGGGGGCCACGTGACCGATGTTACTTGTAACAGTTTCGCTGCACCAGTAATAATAATTGACTTGCCTTTCATACTTCTGCTCCCAATCAAGAGGCATGTTGATTCCTGGCTGAGGACATGAAGGGCAGAAAAGGGCAAGATCTCCTGGGCCAGGTCCTGATTTCATATTATGGCCAAATCCAAACCATTTACAGTTCTTCAAGTCTCTCCACAGTCGAGATACTCTCATGAGTTCACGATAACGATCCTACAGATGCCATTGGAATTTTGAACTACAAATATAGATTTCTCACTCACTGGGACAGTATCTGGAAATGCATTATTTGTCAACCTTGTAAGTTTCTCAAAGAAGCTCCTGGCTGAAGTCTTGCATTCCAAGGCGTCAATGAGAAAATGATCCAGTACTTCGAAGGTGAAAACAGTCCTGGGCCGTGTGGAGCTGGCAGGAAATAGCCGTGCTCTCAGGAGCTGCAGGTGCTGAGGATCGGATCCTTGGCAATGACACCACGATACGTTGTGTGTGAACACTCCTGATGAATGTACAATAGTCACAGGGGTGGTATCTTGAGGTAAGGGGCCTGTCTCTGTAATATCATCTACTCTCCCGTCTTGATCCCCGTGAATTTTCGAAGCTCCATATGAAGGGCAAGGCTCTCCTCCATGGCCTAAGTACCATATGAATCCTTGGTCAGCAAGAGTGACGTCCTGGAAGCACATGTTGTTCCAAAGTTGAATTTTGTGGAAAGGTAATGACTGATGCGATCTGATCAAGCAAGGACAACACCACCCATGGTCACCAGCACAGGTTACACAATTGAATGTGGCCTCAGCACTCTGACATGTCTCGCAGATCCCTGCACAGGCGAATTGTTCTGAATCTAGAATTATATCTAGATATACATCTCAATAATGAAGATATTCTGCTATGAAGTCGTTTTGTGTCTATAGCATGCATGAGGAAACTTTTATCAGCGAGTTAGAAACTACTCGACACACCTTTGTTTTTCTTGGTTGGTGACCATCCTCTGTGTCCAGAATGAAGTCACCCAAACTTTCCTGAGAGGCTTCGACATCCACAAATTCTGCATGGTTCTCTTTCATTTGTTTCCTTGGGCTGCTGGGGGAGGAAGGGTCCATTGATGTTTCATACAGTGGATCTGCACAGGATTCGACCCATGAGGACTTTCCCCTCTTGTCTCTGGTAGGCTTGTAGGCAACATAGTCTACATACAGGTCTTTCTTTTTGGATAGGCTACCTCTGTGTTTGAAAGAATAAGAAACAGCCTTAAGACGATTTTTTTTCTGCCCAGACATGATGTTTCAACCAAGGAATGATAATGTGAAATGAAGTGTATAGTCAAAAATTTGTCTAATCAAATCCAAAAATCTCGGCTATCACAAATGAATAACTGTCTCTACTTACTACCTCTGGACTCTCCCCTGTTCAACCCATTCTTTCTGCCCTTCTTCCTACTAACAGGTTTTTCTCCTTTACCTGCCCCCACTTTGATGAGAAATTCCAAGTCCGTTGGAAACATCGGTCTAGGAATACTCTGCCTATCATGAACTTTGTCCTTGACAAAGTGGGCGATTACGATCCTCTCCCCATCACGCCACCTTGGGACCCCATGCTCCAGTACCTTACCACAAATGTAAACCATGCTCCCAGGGTCATATTGTAGCTCGGCACCCATGTCAGGCAGATCCAATATAGCCTGGTGACCTTTTCCGAGGCTCACCAAAAGGTCATAAAATGATGGTGATGCTCCTGGATCGCGATGATACGGTGTCTCCCGGTTGACAATCACCTCAATTCCAGAAAAATCTGAGGGCCAAACAACTGGATTCGAAGTCTTGACCGCTTGCTTCAGGCTAGAAATACATTGCATGCCAGCAAGATACTGATGGGGTGCAATAATACTGGTGATAGCGGACCAGAATTGTTCGGTTGCTGTGATTTCAGACAACCAATATTGAACTATGGGTGACGACAGAGAAGTTGATTGATATAAAAGATCTTGAAGCCGCTAACTCAATTGAGTTACTTTTGTCTTGTGAATCGGATATGAAAAAAATCTCACTTCATGATGTTGCATGAAACCACCGGGGCACATAGTCACCCGTCCTGCTCCAAATTCTCCTCCGCCAGAGGGTATGACAAAGCCTTGTGAATGCCGAGGCTGTTTTGCCTGTTCCGTTGGCTTAGGCAAAGAGTGATCAAGGACAGGTCTGAGTATCTTGATGGACTCGTTGATGTGTTCCTAGATTATAAACAGTTTAAAATAGGGTTTTCATATTCGTGAGAGTCATACCATTCGGTCGGGCATCAGGATCTTGGGGAGATACCAAGCTAGGATTCTTCCATGCTTATCAACCAATGTGGTGGGCTCGGTTATGTGACCAAATGAAGAAGCTTTGAAATACTTGGCTAGTTTCTTTCTTTGTTTTGTATTTCGGGAGGCTTTAGCAGAGTCCGAAAATCGATCAACATCCCAATCTGTTTGTACTGCAGTCAAATATTCAAATTCGGG